AGAAAATATGCCTGAAAGTCCTTTTTAGTGTTTTGTTAATCAGACATATGACATTAGTGCTATTTAAAGGTCCTGGAGACAAAGCTTCACAGTAGCAGAAAGTTGATTGTTCTTGCCATATTTATGCTCAGAAACAAAATCCTTAAAAATTGCGAAGGTTTATAATTTAATTCACTAGGAAACGGTGGTGCAGAGTCAGGTGGTTGTTTGGAAAGTAGAAAAAGTATAATGATTAGAAATGGAATAATAACTTCCAAAATACAAGGAAATCTGTCATATGATCACTCTCGTACATAATATTTCACAGCTATGCAGATTATCAGGCAGGAATCGCTTCAAACTGGTATCTACAAATTGGAGGCAATCTCTTTCACATTCTGAGATCAGAAAGGGACTGGGGCCAATAAACATTTTATTAATGCAATATTATCCTTGATGGTTGGCTTCAGAAATCACTGAAGAGATTCTCACATAATAAACCATAATTTGGTTTATTATCAATCAATTAATGAGGTACAATTGGACATAAGTTAAGCCATAAAGAAGAAAATCAAATTTGTGCAATGCCAAAACCAGGTAAATGTGTTTCTTCCCTTATTTTTAAATTTACAATAGGCTTGCTCAAGTTGAAGTTTTCCAACTCTATTAGATGTATGCCAGGCTAACGATAGGGGGAAGTTGAAGTCTGGCAAACTGGAGATTACCACCCAAAATTAGGGAAGGCTGTTTTATAAAGTCCATTCCTCAGCATTATTGCTGAAGTACTTTTGAAAGTTTAGATATCACCTATGAAATTGGGCATCCCAATAAATCCCTAAGGAACAGAAGGTGACCAACCTTGATATGGTGGTACAAAGTTAAACACAGCCAGGAGTATATAAATGTTTGCATGCAATTGTAATTATTCTGGGACTGAAGAGAAGAAGGACAGTTTCTGATTCCTTGCCTGTCATTTGATATACTGGACAGCTATAATAGCTGAAGGGGTTGCCAGTTGCCAGCAAGTAATACATTATCTTTGCAGAATTACCACTTTCTGCAAAAGCACCCTCCACTCCCTATAAAATACAATATGAAGTGATTCTTTTATGAGCAGAATGAAGAATCTCTGTGCTGGGAAAGGAGGAAGCAGCATTCTTTCAATGCTGAAATGTCAGTCTTCCTGCTACATGAAGTTAAGTGACTGACCCAACCAAAATGTTCCATTTCTATTATGCCATTATTATTATTATTATTATTATTATTATTATTATTATTATTATTATTATTATTTCAACCCAAGTCTTTCTCAACTATGCAAAGCTGTTTACTTCTATACTTTGACGGTTCTTCCAAAATGGAAATGCTAATTCTGGAGTCATTGGTTACAGTCAGATGATTCCTAAATTAGTTTCTGCTTGGATATTTTCAAGTACCATAGTATTAAAGAAACTAAATTATTTTATTCTATATAAAAGCAGCAATTAATTTTCTTTGAAACTAGCCATTGATATTGCTGCTTAAACTCAGAATGACACACCCTGCAGGAAATACTGTTTTATATGCCAGAAAATTGGAAGACAAGAGTTGTGTTGTATAATGTGCCAATGCAAACAACAAGGTTCATGTGTAAGGGAAGCAGAATCTGAGGCCCTCGGGCACGTGGTTAGCAAATGCCTTGAGTATGATTGTCAAAAACATTCTGTATTTGTTAAATGTTTAGGGCTCATCTACAGACCTCCCTTGCCTCAGTGCATGGATCTCTACCTCACAGCAGAGCCTCTTAGTGCCAGCCAAGATTATCTTGCAAAACATTAGTGTTTCCATTAAGAAACGGAGCAATTCTATGCAAACATTCTATGAACATGGAGGAGGCGCCTGAGGTCACCCCTGTAGATTGTCTCTTTCCATCCAGTTATGGGGCTTCAGGACTCCTCACCCCTCTAAGAGCAGGAGCTAGAGGAACATTATGGGGCAGCATTTCCCAAGCAATTTAGGATGGGAGGAAAGTACAGTATATCTAGAGCTGTATGGGGGAAAACTCTGAAAGTGCCAGGAATAATTTATGAGAGAGGGAGCAACACAAACAGATGCCAGCAACTATGGGGCCCTATCAACTCTTGAGGAAGGGCCAGAGGGAGGAGATTCTTTAACATGTGGAGTCAAAATACCTTATTGCAGCCTTATTTCTAGTCCTGTGTTCCCAGCTGCATCAGATCTGCTGCCTATAATTTCTGGAAGTGAAAAATTCTAACATATCTGGAGGGCCCAAGTTGGGAAAAACTGCCTCAATTTAAGTCAGTAGAGATTAGTAACCCCCCCCCCCATCAGTATTAAAGTAGATAATCTCTATCAGAGGATTTAAGATAGCAAGGTATAATTCAGATAAATACAGTGGGAAGGGAACAAATTTCAAGATATGATTCCTAGCCTTTATTGGTGTAAGGCTGTATCAGGCTTCTTCAGTATCTTCCAGTTTTCTTGACAAAATATATTATTGAATAATACATGTTTAAAAATCTAAAGCAGAAGTGGGCTAATTTTTGGTACCTGTACTGGGTATCTACATTTTTTTAAACTTACAAATGATATCTCCAGCCAAGACAAGCAGTAAATCAGGGATGCAAAGTGGCAAGCCTGCATCATATATAGCTGGAAGTGAGACTTTGTTCCTGGATCTGGGAAGGCTATTAAGTTTTATGTTAGTGTTTATGAAGAAAAGTTTTTTTAAATTTCCTGCTTCAAATTAAGGAAAATCTTCAATAACTGCAGTTGATGAAAAACTCCAGGAAGGAATTTGAAGTTTCTGTGTGACTTTGGGATTACAGATGCTTTGGAAATCTATGGGATGGTGTAGTCCAAAATGGAATAATCCAAGTTCTCCAATTAAGGAATAACTAAGTGATTTATTTCATTCCCATTTTCATCATTCACATTTGGTTGTAATGTTGTGTTTGTACATACTGCTCTCTGTGTATATATCACTGGGTACATACTACACCACTGTTTAGAATAGAATAGAGCTGGAAGGGACCTTGGAGGTCTTCTAGTCCAGCTCCCTGCTCAAGCAGGAGAACCTATTCCATCTCAGACAAGTGATTGTCTAGCCTCTTCTTGAAAATCTCCAGTGATGCAACGTCCATGATTTCTGAAGGCAAGCTGTTCCACTGGTTAATTGTCCTCACTATCAGGAAGTTTCTCCTCAATTCTAGGTTGCTTCTCTCTTTGTTCAGTTTCCAACCATTGTTTCTTGTCCTGCCCTCTGATGTTTTGGAGAATAACGTGACCCCCTCGTCTTTGTGGCAGCCCCTCAAATATTGGAATACTGCTATCATGTTGTTCCTGTTTCTTCTTTTCTTTAGACTACTAGCCAAACCCAAGTCCTGCAGCCGTTCTTTGTATGTTTTAGTCTCCAGCCCTTTGATCATTTTAGTTGCTCTTCTCTGAACTTTTTCCAAGGTCTCAACATCTTTTTTGTAGTATGGTGACCAAAATTGATTGCAGTATTCCAGGTGTGGTCTTACTAGGGTTTTATGAAGCGGTACTAATACTTCACGTGATCTTGATTCTGTGCCTCTGTTTATACAACCCAGGATTGTATTAGCTTTTTTGGCTGCTGCTGCACACTGCTGGCTCATAGTCAAGTGATCGTCCACTAGGATTCCAAGATCCCTCTCACAGTTGCTGTTTTTGAGCCAGGTCTCGCCTAATCTGTACTTGTACCTTTGATTTTTCCTGCCTAAAAGTAAAACTTTGCTTTTCTCCACATTGAAACTCATTTTGTTGGATAGGGCCCTTTGTTCAAGTTTGTCAAGATCTTTTTGGATCCTGAATTTGTCTTCTGGGATGTTGGCTACTCCTGTCAGTTTGATGTTATCTGCAAATTTGATGAGTTCCCCTTCAATTCCCTCATCTAAATCATTTATGAAGACATTGAAGAATACTGGGCCTAAGATGAAACCTTGTGGTACCCCAGTGCTTACTTCTCTCCATGTGGATGTAGTGCCATTGAGGACTACTCGTTGAGTATGGTTTGCCAGCCAGCTACAGACCAATCTGGTGGCGATGTTGTCTATTCCACCTTTTTTTAGCTTACCAAGGAATAGGTTGTGATCTACTTTATCAAATGCCTTACTGAAGTCTAAGATTACTACGTCCACAGTATTTTGCTGGTCTATTAGTTTAGTCACTTTGTCGAAGAATGAAATAAGATTGGTTTGGCATGATCTGTTTTTAACAAACCCATGCTGGCTACTAGTTATCACTTTGTTTGCTTCTAGTTGTTTGCAGATCTGTTTTTTGATTATCTTTTCTAAGATCTTCCCAGGTATTGATGTTAAACTGATTGGTCTGTAGTTTCCTGGGCCCATTTATACAAACATATACTGTGTTTGTATATATCATACAAAAATGAAACAGGTCAAGAAACATGCTCAGACTCCAAGAAATGGTAACAAAGAACCTGGCAACATTATTTAGATCAGACTAAACATGGATTCCTGCGGCTTTTAATCAAGCTTGGTTGATTTAAATGTGAATCTGATATTTGTTTATGCAATCTCTTGGGGGAAAAACTGCTGCAATACATTCTTCTCTTTGCACCAGCTATCATCCAAGCACAGAGATAGCTAATTGTGCTCTGGACTGGGCAGTTCCAAATACCTAATAAGTTTCGCTTTGTCCATCATGTGATTGGGTCCTCTTTTTATTAAGTTATCTAAAAGAGAACTTTTCCTCCAACTCTTACATCTTTCTTCTTATACCAATCCTTTACTAATTTGGCTTCAGTGTAAATAACTTTCCCTTCCTGATTGTCATTTGCCAGAGCCAGGGTGTCTTGAGCTAGGAGTTTCTTTGCAGATTCTATTATTTTTTTCTGCCTTCATCTTTCCTTTTCTCCTGAGAAGTTCTATTCATAACTTATTGAAATGACTGTGCAGCTCACAATCAGGCAATTCCCCTTCTTTTTACCAAGTTTATATCATATTATCAAGTCATAAAATCCGGGCTATCTTTCACAAATGGACAACAGCCCCCCTTCTGCATTCCCAAGAAAGATTACAAGGGTAAGTGATTTTTTTTAAACTTTTTTTTATTTGCCACAAGCCCAAAGGTTTTTTCTTTCTTTCAAAGGAGGAATGGTCTTAAGATCTGGCATTTTTCAAGTAGTCAACTGCAATTTTAATTACACCCTATCTAAGAATCCAGGCCATCATTATATTCCCAGCTACTCCGTGTTCTGGATTGTGTGGAATAAGTTTCCATTCTCCTAGATATAGCTTGAAAAACTTTAAACCAAAATGTATGGTAGATTTGAGCTTTTAAGATCTCTCCAATTGCAGTTGTCATTGTTTCTGAAATAACAATTTGTATTTGTATTGCTGTTAAGTAGGCCTTTGGGAAATAATGCCCAAACCTTGGGATTTTTCAAATCACATTGCATACAGTTGGCTGAATGGTTGGTTGAAATGAGTTTCAATGAAAGTTATTCATCCTTGTTTTAAATTCATCCCCTATTTATTTTATTTCACTCATTGGGAGGAAATTTTGTCTTAAATTTGTATACATCGCTGATTAATAATTGCCATAAGCCAATGGGTGATGGTGAGATCTTTTCTTACCCAAATTTAGCAGAACTATCATACTTTAATAGCTCAAGAACTTCCAAGAGTTCTGAAGCAAATACTGAGGGATAAAATAGGTAACCATGAAGAAAGTAAAGTCTGGACTCATGTAGCCTAATAGGTACCATTTAGCCTGGAATGTTGATTAGCTGTAGCTCCGATTATCTGTCACTGTGCATTCATTCTTGACCAAGTTCAATGGTTACCACATTGCTCTGTTGTGCAGCTCACAAACATGCTGCCTGTAATGGAAACTGATATAATTCTGGAGTGGTGGAGTAGATGTGGATGCACATAGTAATGATTTGGTGGTTTGACATATTGTGCAAGCATGAAAAAATTAAATCAAAACTTCAGGAGGTTAAGGAAGGCAAGAAGAAATCATTTTCCTTTCTATCATCTTACTCCTTTGTCTTCTTGCATCTTTACTAATTCTCTCTCTTCGACTGAATTGCATGCTCCTATACCTACAAGCATGATCAACTCTTTCCTAATGCCCCCCCTTTACAATATCCTCACCCTTCCGGTATATGTGTGTGTGGGATCCATCCAGAAAAAAATTAGATTTCCTTTCCAAAACAGCTTTCACTGAAGAAGTCTACCTTAGGTGCTAGAGGTTGCTTCAGATAAAGTTTCTGCATACCTTTCTCAGCAATTTCAGTGGTGTTAAGTTGGGTGATATAAAATACATGTTACAAAACATACTGCCTCTCTATATTTCCTGACAAATACTAGCTAAGCCACTGTCTAATAGCTGGCCCTTCTCTTTCTGTCCAGTGTTCTGTGTTAGTTAAATGTGTTTAAAGATTTCTTCCTTTTGTGATATTCTCTTCCATTTCTTCTCATTATAAATCTTTTCCTTCTTTCCAAAAGGTTAAATAATATACAGTATTGAAATATCACCAGTTGACCTGGGGCAACATACAGCCTATTTTAAATAGAGAGCTGCATTTTGCTTTTTAGAGCCTGGCTAACAATTTAGGACTACTCTTGGGTGATCCTCTAGTCAGGCGTTCCTTTTACCAGCTTAGGTTTTTATGGCTTCTGAGTGCACTGGAGAAGGCAGATAATGGCACTGTTGCTCATGGTATGGTACAGGTGGTCCTTGACATATGGCTGGTCACTTAACAACATTTGAAGTTACGATAGGCCTCCCTGGAGATACTTACTGTACATTGGAACTCCCTGGTTCCAAAGTTCCGATGGCCACCTGCCCCTGGTCACGTGGGCCAAAGAGACTGGACAGCCATTTGTCTGAAATGGTATAGGGTTTCCTGCCTGAGCAGGGGGTTGGACTAGATGACCTCCAACTTTATTATTGTTATTATTATTATTATTAACAGTGTCTCACATCACAAGACTGTGTTTCATGATGGGTTTGCTTATATCACTGATTTCACTGGACAGCAAAGAATTTGCTTCCTGAAAACGTTTGGATCTGTCTTAAGGATTTTGGGATGCTAATCACAAAAATAACTATAATGTAACCTATCACATACCATTTTATAGAAATCTTCTGTTTCTACACAATGGCAATGTACAATGTATCTGTTGGTTATGCCTCACACCTGAAAGAAATATATTAAAACATGAAAGTATTGTTGAAGCAGATCCAGTATACTAGGTATAAGTGGAATATCTGAGGAGATCTAAAAATAGTGGCTCTGCTCCTTGGAATGCAGCTCTATATACCAAGGATTGTTGTTACATATGCGAACGGGACAACCATGCAAGAGAGTTACATTACTTTATGAAGAAATGGCCATTCCAAAAGAATTTGGTTCCAGGACAGAAAAATGTGGCACATGAACCGCTTGTTGTCCCAATAAAGAAATGTTTGCCTCTGCTTCACATAAAACATGGACTGAAAGATTTTGTGAAAGCAATGAACAAAGTAGGTGAAGGTTTTTGTTAGTTGAGACATATGTTTCCAATAATAATTGATGCAAAGATTAAGGAAGGCATCAATGACAAGCAGCTCGAAGCTCTGTTGATGGGGCTAGAGAAAATCTCCTGGAAAGCATTTGAGAATTGGGAATTTTCTTGGCAACTACAGAGCACCAAACTACATTCAGCTAGTTGACAAATTTCTTACAGCATACAAGACCATGAAGTGCACTGAAGATTCATTTTCTGCACTGACATTTGGACTTCTTTCCCAAAAAATTAGATGCAGTCAATGATGAACATGGTGAAAAAATGGTATCAGGGCAACTGGAATCCATCAGTCCTGGCTGATTGTTGGACACTGCAGCAAGTTGCATCAGACACTGAGTACAAATGAAAATCAGTAGCAAAACTCTTTTAGCCCTGTTGAACTCATGCGGTGTGTCAGAAACATTATGTGATTAAATACATTACAGCCATTAAAAGTTAATTTCATATTTCTTAAGATTCTTACATGATAAAGTCATTTTGAAATTATATTTATGTTCAGTTTGAAGGGGTCTATCATTATCATCAAATGATTTTTAGGAAGCAAAACTTTTGAAAAAAAATAGTTATTTTTGGCAAAACTGGCTCATAGCAAACCACTGGTTCATTTAAGGATCACGGTAATCATTTTTTGTCCATAGTGTTCAGTTAATGACTACTGTAAAAAAGGTCATAAAATCAGGTTAGTCAGATAAGTGGCTCATTTTACAACTATCGCAACTTACAGCCATGATGGGCACACTCGTTCACAGTCAGAAGTTGAGGACTATCTGTAACATCTAGTTTAGTTTATTCAGTGTATTTTGATGAGCACTTGGTTGATCCTACAAATACCAGAAATTTCACTAGAAAGAATACATCATTCTTATTATTTATTCCTCATTTTGGGGTCCAATTCAAAGTAGTGACTTCTACTTTTCTAGATTTGTCCTGAGGATCAGGTCCATGTCTTCTAGCCATTTGAAGTGTAATGGTGGGAATGAGAGAGAACCCTAATCATGCAGGCCTTGTTGCAGAAGGCTTCCTCCAAGGTGACCTGCCTGCCTCGTCACGATTACCTTTCCAGCACAAAGTGAAAAATGGTTTTCCAGAAAACTTTTAAGGATAATGCAAGAGCACAAGCTAATCTATTGTACAATTATGCAGTTGATATCCCATAGTTCTTTTTTCTCTTGGATGCGGAGATTTGAAGCATTGATCCTTTTTTATACTGTTTTGCCTTCATAGTGTATGTTTATGATTGGATTTTTTTTTTCAAAATGATTTGTGATTGAAAATCAGAATTAAGATGGCAGAGATGGAAAATCCATTTGGTTAAAACAACAAAAGAGATATTTAAAGAATTGTTATTCTACCTAAGATATTTTACCAATATCACATTCTAAATATACAATACAATTTATTGCCATGATATTTAAGATTTAGTCAGCATGTGTCCATTTTCTCTAGGTCCAAAATTCAATGTTCAGCATTAGCTACAATGGAAAAGTTCTATTTACAGACTGGCTAGAGGCATCCCTAATTCCCATTGTGGATCAATCTCCATCTGTGAATAAACTTGGATTCTTCCCTCTGAGATATTTTGTACTATCTAATTGCTATGCCATCATCTTCAATTACTTTGAATGGTCTAAAAGTTTCCTCATTCTAGTTTCTGAGAAAGGAACTTACAGAGGTATCCCTCCTGCAGATTTACTTTGCCTTGTGTAAAGTAGAAGACCTACATATCAACAACAGTTTCTTCTAGTTGACTTCTATGGGTTTTGCCACTACAAAGAGGGATCCAGTGACTTTCCAGATATTGTTGAATTATAACTGCCAGCGAGCCCAGCTAGTGTACTCAATGCAGCAAGATATGGCAGCTTCCAGAGGACCACGGATTCCCTATTCCTGTTCTAGTCAGTGCTAGTGTTAAAGGGAAAATGGCATATTTTGTAAGTTATTGTCCATGTTTTCCATAGTCAAAGTATAGAATCAAAGTATATTGGGAAATCAATTCCCTCCTTCCCTGCTGATTCTCATTTTTTAAATTATTGTTGAAGATTCTATAATAACCAACCTAGGAAATACATCCTTGGTGCCATTTTAGATTAATCCATCATAATGACTTGAACAGATCTTCCTCAAGTAATATCTTCTGTCTTTCCCATCTCCAGCACCAGCACAATTTGATCCAACTGGTTGAAATTCTGGGAATTCTAATGCCATCTTATGTAAAAGGTATCAGACTTGAGGAAACGTATTTAGAATGGCTCTTAAAGATGTCACTAGATGTTTGAGAAATCATATAATATATTTCCTTTTCTGATCTGACTTTTCTTATTTATCTCTCCTAGCATCTCACCTTTCCACTTCTTGCTGTTACATTCCTGTCATCATTTGGATCATCCACACTGTATGGCTTCAATCTCGCTGTGGTAAACTCTCCAGCAGCGGTAAGACAAATAGAAAGTGGAAAGTGAAATTATTTTTCTCTTAAACAAGCAGAACAGTGCAGGGGTACAATGGATTGACTTACTGTTCTTGAGTTATAATTCCCAATGTTTCTCACCATTGACTCTGTTGACTGGGTTGACAAAGCTACAATTCAGAAACAATCTAGATTTCCCATCACTGATCTGGCAGAAGGCCCTTTCCATTTCCTGACCTTAACAAGAGAGCTAGCTCTTTTCTTTTTTTTCAGTACTAAAGTGTTTTGATTGATATTATCCCCTCCAGGCATTACTGGCCTTCAGCTGACCCAGGCATTGTGAAAATTGGCCATGGTAAATGTGGAGATAGGATTGTGACAATCTTCTCTTTATCAGTCTCCCGTTCCCTCCTTTTGCAGCACATCAAAGCCTTCTATAATGCAACATGGTACCAACGCTATGGGCAAGGCCTGGCTCAAGGACCTCTCACTCTCATGTACTCCCTGACTGTCTCCATTTTTGCCCTGGGAGGCTTGGTGGGGTCATTTCCTGTGGGAATACTGGTCACCCAGTATGGGAGGTAAGAGCTGTGCCAACAAGAGTTACCTTGTGGTAAAATGGGTGAGCAATAAATTTAATAATAAATAAATAAAAACAAGGTAGTGATTCTCAATTATACATAGAACATGCAAGCTAGCAACAATACTTGATGTACCCCTGAAATCTATGCATAATAGCAAGCTCACTGCCACACCTAGAATAATTTTTTTCTAATCTGATGGTCCCACTTAGAATTTTCATTCTGCATGGATAATATCCCCATTAGCCAACCTGTGAATGATGTTTGCTGTAGAGTGTAGAACAACACATAAGAAAGTTACCAGGATAAGAAAACATGCTTATATTACATTGAAGTATTTAAATATATTTTCTATTAACTTTCAAGATAAATGAGCATTTTTATTGTCCTTGGGTTGTCTTACAACTTCATTTTGTTAAAGGTGGATTTTAAATAATGAAAATAATTAAATAGATAATTGAGTTAATCAGCTTGACATACAGAGAAAAGCCTGACCCATTCCTTTTTGCCCGTCTTTCAGTCATGCCCTGCATTTAATTTAAAGTTTCTCTGAATCATTTATGCTGTCATAAGAAAAATGTCTGTATTTATGCTCTTCTTTTTTTACTCTAAGTTTTTGGTATCAGACTCATTAAACTAGCTTCAGGCATGTACAGTGAATTGTTTGGCTGGCCAGTTTATTTCTCATTCCATCTGATAAATCAAATAGTCCTCATGGGAATTAAGAAGGGGGAATGCCAATGTCTTTTAGGATAAAGAAGAAAAAGGGGTTATGGTAAGACAATTTTGGGGCGGCAGAAGGAAAAGAGAAAAATATGAGAAAAATTATTTTGTTTTTGTCTTTTTGTTACCAGGAATGGCACTTTGGTCCGTAGCAACTTTCTTGTTCTGTTGGCTGGCATGTTAATGGGATTCAGCCGCTACTTGGGATCTCCTGAAATGGTCATTTTGGGGCGCTTCATTATAGGGATTCATTCTGGTAGGATCTTGCTGCATTAATAAACGAAAATATTTGTAGCTCAGGGTTGAAATGAGGGGATCTTGGTTGTCTTTGAGCTTAGTTGTTTTCTTGCAGATATTTCATTACCCAAATTAGGTAATATCATCAGTGCTAGTCCTGATGATGTTACCTGGTTTGGGTAATGAGATGTTTGCAAGAAAAAAACCAAGCTCAGAGACCATTGATATGCATTGATATGCTTTCTCCCTCATATTTCCATAAAGCAAGTCAAGTACATGAATTGGTTTTTGCAATGTTATTGATCTTTTAATCCCATTGTGGTTTTGGAATGTTTTTATTGAAGCTATAAACTACTGCAGAATTTAGAGAGATATATGCAGCCTATCTCTGGTTTCCTCCCCCCCCCCCCCCCGCCATGCATTGCACCAGATTTCTCAGTGGTTACAATACATAGGAATGTCATTACGCAAATGCAAAGTTAGTTAAGAAAGTAAACAAAATTATCATTCTGAGCGAAAGCAGTCCTAAATAGTATAAAGACGATTGTTATAGGCATAATAATAAATGATTGGCAAATCAATGGGCATAAATGCAACAAATGTGCAGGTCTCAGAATTAGATGGAAAATAATCCCTTTTCTCTCTCTTACCCCACATGCTGGTTTTGGGGCTGGGTACCTTCTGGAAACCAGAAATAGGCAACTACTACAAAATAGCATTTACATAGCCTTTTCCATCTTAGTGCCCTCCAGATATATTGGACTACAGGTTCCAGTATTCCCAGGTGATATGAGATATTGGCTAGAAATTATGGGTACTATAGCCCAATTTGAAGGACAGCAGATTGAAGAAGGCCAAGCTAGCTATTTCATTTGCAAATAAAGTTCCCTGTTGAGCTTGTCTTGAAATGAAAAGAAAAATGTCACCTTCTTAATTCAGGAATTGAATTCTTGCCATAAAAAAACCCTACCCTATTCCTAAGTAATTGACTGCAGATTCATTTCATAAACAGTCTGAATTAGGTTGTTTTCCCAAGAAATGTCATGCCATAATGAACTAATTATAACGGTGTCACATTTTTATCTTTTTACTGTAAAGCTGACTTTTTAATTATTTATTTTGTTTATTCATTTATCAGCTTGAATGCCACCTCAATCACAAGAAACTCTAGGTGGCTTTGAGAATGGGATTAAAATATCAAATACTGTAAGATATCAGCTAAATATAAAACTGTTGGAAATTCATCATCTTTCTTCTTTCTTCTTCTTCTGTCAGGCATCTGTCTCAGTGTGGTGCCCATGTACTTGGGAGAAATTGCCCCAAAGAACCTACGGGGATTTCTGGGCCTTGTTCCAAGCACCTTCATCTGTCTGGGGGTCTTCTCTGCCCAAGTCCTAGGCCTTCCAGAGCTTTTGGGGGAGGTAAATGCTATACTTTCATTTTCTGGATGAAATGAGTGAGGGCAGGGCACCCAATGGAATGCAGTCCCTCTGCTGTTCGGAAAGTTAAGCTGAAGAAATGGCAAGAGCACCATTTTCTATCCCACAGTTGTTCTCCCGCTGGTTTAAATAAGGTAAATGGATTCGGCTTCCTTGAAGCCCAATCTGTTTCTCCATGCTGCCTGCTTCTCCAAGCATACAGAGCTTCTGCAAGTAGTTCACAAAGCCCTTTGCATCCCAATGTTTCTGCTCATCAAGCTGTTTATTTCTTGTGTAATGCATACGTGCCTGTGAGTTAAATACAGTCTTTCATTCTGGCCTTGAGCAGTTGCTTGAGACCATTGTTTTTCACGTGTCAGAAATAATACATACTGTTCTGCCCTCTCTACTTTCTACCTATGCACCCACTTTTCCAATAATCTAATTGTACTATCCACTTCATGAGAAACATGAAGGGAGATGAAGGGCAGAAGCTATAGAAAGAAAGCTGATCAGATGCAAAAATGTTGAACACTTATCTACAGCACATGTTCTCTTTGCTTGGAGCCAATGCTAATAAATAAACACTTCACTTCTGTTGGGCCTTTCTTTCTAGGATGCCTACTGGCCTCTTTTCCTCTCTGTAGTGGTGGTTCCTGCTTTTCTGCAGCTCTTGCTACTGAATTGTTTTCCTGAAAGCCCTCGTTACTTGCTTATTGAGAAAAATAATGTCCATGGAGCTGCTGAAGGTAAGCTGAACACATGCTACTACTACCTCTTCCCCAAGCAATGCCAAGTAGGGACAGAGATTGCACTGGGCCTCATCTGTTCTTACCATGACCAGATCCAGGTGAGAACTTGACAAGTATCTAGGGACATCTTCCAGAGAGGCCCAGGAACAGAATATTACTTTTGTTGCCTTCTCTGCCATTAACTCTCTCTCCCTGGTCAATATTGCCCACTGAAATAAATATCCTTGAAATAAGAATATGTGGAGGAAGTTCAAAATACTGAAAGGGGTTTGGGCTTTATGCTTTAATTTGTTGTTTCTACTGTTATGAATACCAAGTATGAACTTATCTGATCAGTTGAACATTGTACAATATTTTGGATCTCCTCTCCATTACTCTTACATTCGAAACAAAATAAAAATGTCAAGATTGTGCTTTTTGAAGAGCTCCTGTTTTTTATAATCTTAAGTGCTAAACTCATCTTCTTCAACTGACTCTGGAGACTGGGAGTGATAGTCCAACATTTCTAGGGAGTGCCAAGTTGGAGAAAAATTAAATTAACTTGCATCTTCCTGGCTTACCGGTCTCAAAGATGTGTTAGCACCTCACAGATAAAGGCCAGAAGTATGAATAATTTTTGAGGCACAGACTGCAAGGCTATACTGATGTTTCCTACCTCCAGAAGAGTGGCAAGGAGTGAACGTTCTTTGTGGATCTTCCCCACCTTTCGAATTTTCTCCTACCAGATAAAAGATCTGCCCCATATTCCTAATACTTAGGAAGGCTGGGAAAATCAGGTTCTTCTAGGAGCATTTGGTGACTTAGACAGGAGTGATAGAAAGTGCCTAAGATGGAATATTAGTTTCTGATGATCTAAGGTGCTAGGGTATTGACAATGGTTAAGGATAATTATGACTGATTTTTCTATGTGGATGTAATTATTATGGGTATGTTATGTTTTCTTATATTGCTGTTACTGCATTGGTATTATTTTTATATTTATTAAGAATTTTATATAAAGGAAAAACAAATCTAGAAAAAGAAAGAAAGAAAGAAAGAAAGAAAGAAAGAAAGAAAGAAAGAAGGAAAGAAAATGAATTATAATTACTTCCAACTTTCTTTTTGATAATTACAATGTCACCTTCCTCTTCAACTACAAGTTTCTTCAGCCTCTCATTTAATCCACATCTTTTAATCTTAAAAACCCATAAATCATCATATTATTTTTTTCTTTCAGCAAAAGTCCATATAAGTTTCCAGTTTGTCAGAAAAGTTTTTGTTGTTTTTCTCTGACTAATATTGATATTATTTCCATAGCCACTTTGAGTTGTAATGACTGAAGTGACATAGAAGCCTTTTAAATAGATAAAAAAATCCCCATATTTCTTCCTCAGGCTGGCATTCACACCTCTCTATTACAACAGCCATCCAGTGAAATTCTCTCAGCCCAAAGGTGTCTCAGAGTAATCTAATTGACTTCTTTGTCTGGAGTCTAGTACTGAATCTCTACTCCTGCTCCTAAATTTAACTGACATATTAGGGATTTCAGCCAATAATATGTAGTATAATTTGGCTCCATTTTCGCATTTTGGCTCTCAGGTAATTAAGGTTCCCTTTGCATCTTTTTAATACATCACCCAGCACTTGAAAATGCAACAGAATTAATTTAACGCCTAACAATACTTCAAATGGCAACGTATTTTTATCTACTGTATTTCCTCTACTAAAGCCAAGTACAGCTTCTTTAAAAGTTTTGTCATTCTAATGCATTTTGGCAACTCCAAAAAGATTGCTTGATTTGGCCTCGGTGGTAACAGTTATTTACTGAAATAATATTTATGTGATATATATATAAAATTAATACCAATTATATTTATATTGAATTATCATAAATGTGATACACACGCGTGCACACATGCACACAAACACACAGAGTTAGTAATGATATAAATGAAATGCTATGGAGTTGCTCTCCTGGCCCTAAGCCTTTCACTCAGTCAAAGAGCAACCTCTGACCACAAAATGTTGGTGGTTATAGTTCCCCCCCCCTTTCATTCAATCATGTCCAGTTCTCAGACCTGACAAGTCCCTGCCGTTTTCTTGGCAATGATTTTCAGAAGTAGTTTGCCATTGCTTCCTTCCTGGGTTGAGAGAAGGTGACTGGCCCATGGTCATCCAAGTGGACCTGTTCAATTCTATAGTTCAAGAACACCTTTTTTTTTCCAAAGAAGGCCACAAATGATGGGCTCAACGTTTATATAAATTCTGTCAGGCCCCCACCTCCCAACTGATGCCTTCCAGATGTAATGAATTCCTATGGTTTCAGCTCCTTCGCTGGCTGGGAATTGTAAGAATTGAAATCCATATCTGAAGGTCACCAATTTGACGAGCTGTAAGAATTTCACAGTTTATGAGCAACATATTTTTATTAAATATATTAAAATGAATCTGCATATTTCTATATTAATCTGCATATTATTATATATTCCATTCAAACCAGAGATATAACCTTGACGATTGCAACCTTTGCTTCTTCCCTTTGAAAATGATTTTGATGTTGTCACTTAGGTCCAGAAAACCTTGGGAGGTTGCATTCTGTCCATGGGTTGTCCCTTGTCCCATCCTTCAGTGCTCTGGAAGGTAGACTAACATGTTGTTCTCATCCTACAGCATTAAGCTGGTTCCTTGGTAAACATAATGTGCAGGATACCATTGAGGAGATAGAGGAAGAAAAGCGTTCGCTTGCCTCAGTGAAATCTATATCTGTATGGCAACTACTCTTAGATCATTCTGTGCGATGGCAACTACTGTCTGTAATAGTGATCAACATGGGTATGCAGCTCTCTGGAATTGATGCGGTAAGAACTAGTGTGCTAGGTCATAATCTTTGGGAATAGAGTGCAGTCACAATAATGTGGTGTTGCTAATCCTCTTTTACCTTCTGTAACTTCAGAATCAAGTGGATTGTGACCTGTCCCTCCTCTTTCCTTCTTTAAACTTTTTTCTCAGGTCCCCTTCTAATTTTTCCAACTTTTCTATGCTGAAAGAAAAGCATAGACCACGGACCATTAAGAGATCAGAGAGATAGCTGAGAAGAGTTTGTTCAGTTCAAAGTTATTAATCCATTTTACATTGTATATTTCAAATAATTAGGAGTAGTCATTCTCACAATAACTTTGTGTGCTAGAACAATTTTTCTATTTCCAAAACTTCAATACAAAACAAAGCTAGAGTGATGTTCCTGCACAAACCTTTAGTAAGTATAGATAGGTCTCTTCTTCTGAAAGTCAAATCCTGGAGATTTGATACCCATGTAGCTTTTTAAGCAACCTTGTAGAAATGAGTTGGGATATTTTGAGAATGTTTTCCAACCTTCCAATCCTAATTAGCTTCCAAGCCTAGGTAAGGTTGGCCAAAGTCCCAAACTGCTTTAATTAAGCTCCACTGATTTGTATTCAAAGATTGAAAATGTTGTTTATGCTATATAAGAACGTAAGAGGCCAACAGAATCAGACTAAGAGATCATGTCGTTCAGCAATATTTCTCAATAGCAAGACTACCAAGTCTAGGCTGCTTATATAACTCTTTAAAGCTATCTAATGATCATCTGGAATTTTGTAACTCAGATATGTTAAGTAGTTTCGTGTTGTATTCAGTGAGGAGATACTTCTCTTGTGAAGCTTTCCCATTTAGTTTCAGTAAATCTCTCTGAATTCTAACATTGTATTTGTGAAAGAAGATATGTGCACTTTTCCCTGTTCATATTTTCACAATGTGCTTACATCTTATTATGCACCCCCTAGCCCATCTTGGCTCTCAGTTAACAGATCCCAATATTGTAGCAATATTTCTTTGAAAGGGAAATATTCCAGTATTTTAATTATTACACCATTTCAGCTCCTTTACCACTTATTATCAGTATTATATTACGGAATATAATCAGATATTAGTATTATATCAGGGAAGAAAACCATTGCTCAGTAACACAACATATGTTTTGCATGCAAAAGTCTCGTGTTCACTTCCCAGGCTGTACAAATTTGTATGATTCCTGCCTGAAACCCTGAAACGCTGGTGCAAGGCCGTGTTAACAAAACTGAATAGATGCATTGTTAAAACTGGCTGGACTTCTATATTAGTTTCCTATTTCTGATGAGCTGTTCCTAGGATGAACTTCCCAAGAATTATGAAAACTAATCAGACCAACACATACTTATGTCTTTGCTTTTTCATTGACAGATCTGGTTTTACACAAATGCTATATTTGAGAATGCTGGCATTCCCGATCCTGATATCCCTTACACTACCGTGGGCACTGGTGCTGTTGAGGTTGTTGCTGGCTTAATAGGCGTAAGTGTGGGGACTGAGGGGTAGAATGTCTTTCCCTAAAAATAATGCTGAATAATAATAATAATAATAATAATAATAATAATAATAATAATAATAATAATAATAATAATAATAATAATAATAATAATAATAAAGTTGGAAGGGACCTTGGAGGTCATCGAGTCCAACCCCCTGCCCAGGCAGGAACCCTACACCATTTCAGACAAACGGCTGTCCAGTCTCTTCTTAAAAACTGTTGGAGCATTCACAGCTTCTGGAGGCAGGTTGTTCCATTGGTTAATTGTTCTAACTGTCAGGAAGTTTCTCCTTAGTTCTAGGTTGCTTCTCTCCTTGATCAGTTTAGGTGATCTTTGGATTAATCCTGCCTTTACACCTGATGTCTTCTATATTTGTTTGGATTACAATTCCCAGGGCTCTCAGCCAGCTTGGGAAAGCTGGACAACTAGGGAAATAAACTTGGATGAACAAAATAACATTAAGCTATGGGATTCTAGAAATATGTGAGTTGGAATATTTGAGAAACATGGAGGAGAACTCTAGTAATCCCAATATAAAAGCATGCCTGTTGTGGGAATTTGGTTGGTTTATTTTGCTAGAGCAGAGGTATAAATTACTGAAAACCCAATATTACTATAATAGGGGAGTCTAATTTAACAGCTGCTAGTCCTTTGATTCCAGATTTCAGCTGAGTTGAGGCAACTTTTCAGCTGGGCCAGGAGGGCTGTCTGTGTTTGACCCACACCTCTCTCCCTCTTACACAGACCCGTAGCTCTTCCATCCACTGACTGTCTTTGCTGCCCATCAGCAATGCCTGCTTCTGGCAGCCTCATCACTCCATCAGCCTGATTGCTCCTGAGTGCCAACAAAAATGGCCCCCAATGGAGGCACTGAGGTTGGTTATAAAATTACAGGCATTTTTTCTGCTGTCAGCAGCCTCTCTGCTTTGGCTTCCTTCTGGCAGCTTTCCCCCCCCCAACTTGGCAATATAGACTCAGCATCCCAGGATATCTCCTTTACTCTATCAGCTTCCCCCCCCCATCCCTTCCCAATAGTGGGATAATGCCAGAGGCCATTTCTAATTGTCTAGACTTTCTTTTCTTCCAGGGATATATCTACAGATCCCTACCTCTCAGTCCCTTTCCATCAATTCTAATCAAATAGGACTCTCTCCTTCCCCCCCTCCCCCGGCTGCTTTTAGCTTCATAGATCATACTTGGAAGAACTATTTAGTCCATCAAGTCTAATACCTCCACACCACACCACTACCTCCAATTTCACTGCAGGATTCCAAACTAAAGCAACCCAGGTAAAAGATTGTCAAGCCTCTGCTTGAGGCAGTAAAAGGAGATCAGGATCATACCTTTTTCAAAAATGTGTTTGCTGGGGGAAATGCCATCAGACTCTTTCTGACTTTTTGCTACCACAACTTTGGACAACTCACTTCATTGTTCTTACTGTTGGAACATTTTCTAATATTCACTTGGAATCTACTGCCCTGTAACCTAAACCTGTCATTCCAAGTCTTGCACTCCAGATTGGTTGAGAGCAACTCTTGACCCTCCATATGACATCTTTCAAGTATTTAAAGAATGTTTTCATACCTTTCTTTAGCTGTCAGACTCCCCTAATGCAGGCACAAATTAGGCAGAAGGCTTGGGCAACTACAGTTAGGAATTAAATCTTTATTGTCATACTAGAACAACACATATAATAGAGACCCAAAGGTGCTTTTTCAAATGGCAACTGTACTTTGTTTTCCATTGAAGATCTTTCCAAGAAGCTTCTTCAGTTAATCAGAAGCACCTGGTGCCTTCCTAGGGTCATCTTCATTGCCTTTCTCTGAACCTGTTCCAGTATGCCTCTATATTAACAATCTATACTGTATAGTGTAGTGCAGGGGTGTCAAACTGCTGGCCCGTGGGCCGGACACGTCATGAGGAAACCGTGCCTACCCCATTGCCGGCAATGGGGGAAAAGTTCCGATACATTGTGCGACATCACGTGACATCACGAGTTTGACATGTCTGGTGTAGAGCCTAGAAATAGTCAAGATATATACCAAGATGGTTTTCATGTGAAGAACTTTATAATTGACTCTGATCAATTTTATCTTGTTGTTTTCAAGTCAGGTCTCTAGTTTTGATTTTTACTCCTATATTCTTCTGTATCTCTTTATCTGTAGATTTTGTAAATATTCCCCGCACCACTTCAATTAATTTTTAAAACAGGTAGTCCTCAGCTTACAATCACAATTGAGCCAAAATTTCTGTCGCTAAGTGAGACAGTTGTTAAGTGAGTTTTGCCTATTTTATGACCTTTCTTGCTACAATTTTTAAGTGAATCACTGCAGTTGTTAAGTTAGTAACATGGTTTTTAAGTCAATCTGGCTTTTCCATTGAGTTTGCTTGTCAGAGGGTCACAAAAGGGGATTACATGACCCCAGGACACTGCAACTGTCAGTTACCAAGCATCCGAATTTTGATCATGTGACCATAGGGATGCTGCAGTGGTCATAAGTGTGAAAAATGGTCACAAGTCATGTTGTAACTTTGAATGTTCACTAAATGAATGGTTGTATGTCAAGGACTTCCTGTACCAACAAAACATTTTTAAGAGTAAAATATCCATGACTTATTCTTGCAGGCACTCCCACTCAATACATTTCTCAAATTTCAGAATGAGCATTATTCATAGTTTCAAACAATTAAATTGTTTGAATTTATTTTGTATCCACTTAAGTGTCATGCCATCCAGCCCATATTTTATTAACTAGCTAATCAGCATATAGGGAGTATTTTGTTATATGCTTTGCTGAAATAAAGCTATATTATAATAATATAGATTCCCACATTCTATTAAGAAAACTATCTGATCAAAATAATGAGATACGCTTAATCATCCATACTAACTTCTGGTAATTAATACATTGTTTTCAAGGTGCCTAGGATTAATCAGTTTATGATCTATGAACTTCCCAGATATTGAACTCACTGCCTGATCCATAGTTTGCTGGTTCTTTTAAAGATAGGGATTTGCTCTCCCACTGTCACATAGCATTTCACCATTCCTCCTGAATAATACATAAATATTTGGCCAGAATTCCATCTAGTTCCTTCAGTATCCTGGATGTAATTTATGTGGTACTGGAAGGTTAAACTGATTCATAATGTTTACCATTTATTTATGTAATTTATTTCCCATATACAGTAAATCCAAGTGGACTCTGCACAATGCCAAATAAGATTCTAGATGATAAAGGCCTTCATCATCAAAACAGCCTTGGTAATATACAGTAAATTAATCAACACATTTTAAAAGCAAAACAAGTAAGAACATTAAACACCACATATAAGAAAACATCTCCCAAATTAAAATATCCATAGGATAATTAAGAGCCTGCCTGACAACCAAGTCTTTGAGGCATTCTAAAAATCATCAAGGTCAGAGCCATGTGGATTAGAGGGGAATGGTCTATCTATGAGGTCCCATCAAATCTGTTTTATTGTTGGGACATGGAACATGGTCAGTTTACCAACTGTATAAAATGAGAAAAATCAATTGGACATGGGTGGTCCTATAGATATCCATGATATGATACATGAAGAACTTTATGATGTCAACTAGCACCTTGAATTCTACCTAGAAGCCAATTGGTAACCATGGCAACTTGCAAAGTAATGGTTTCCCATGGACAAACTGAGATGCACTCATAACTACTTAAGTGGCTGCATTCTGGACCAGCAGTTGCATCTAAGTAGACTCCAAGGGTAGCTCCATGTGGAACACATTGCATTATCCAAGCAAGAGATGACTAGCATATGAGAAGTGATGGCTTCTTAAGGAGGGGCTACACTATTGCTTTCTTCAAGGAAGGTCAGACAGCTCACTTACTCAAGGAAACTCTCCATTGCTTGGAATCAGATGTTTGATCAATCAAGTATTCAGTCCTTTCTCTTATCCTGCTTTGAACAATTTCCTGATGGAAAACGTATCTTCTGTAGCAACTGAATAATTTTGCCTTTTCTTTGTTACCTGTTAGCATTTTGCCTTTTTCATTAAGTAGCTCATTCTTTCCTTTTCCATTTATTTAGAATGTATCTAAAGAAACCTCTTTTGTTAGAATCCTCTCCTAGCCTTATTTCAATCTGAGATTGTGCTTAGTTAACAATAGCCTGCAGTTCTGGATTAGCTATCTGCTTCTTTGTGATCTGTTCCTCTTTCTATTTCCTGACTATTTTCACTAGTCACATTTGCTGCTTCTGCTATCCAATATTTCTCCTTTTGGAATTGTTTGTAGTCTCTCTTGCTTTAGAACTTCTGCCCTCCAGAGATCCTTTTTCCATTAGTTCTCCTGTCATGGGATCCGACTTATAATTGCTTTGCGTTTATTAAAATATACTTTTTTTGGAATCCAAGATACTCACAGGACTATGCTCAGTTTCCCTTAAAATAAAGAACTCTAGCATTAAATAGTCACTTTCCCTTAATGTTCCTTTCACTTCTACTTCTGCAATTAAATCTTCCCTTCCCACCTGATTCTACTGCATTATACTTAAGGGAGTAAGCATATTAGATCCTAGAATATTTCATTCAGGAGATTCAGTGGTCCCATTGTTCTTTTAAAAGAACTTGGTATCTACTTAACTGTAGGGAAAAAAAAGTAGAATTTTAGAGGCTGAAATTCTAGCTTTTTTGCATGGCATAAAATAGTTGTTCTTCAATGTACTCTGTTTAGCAATAACTCTGTGCAGCATTGTTATGTCTTCCCAGTATGCTTGCCTGGTGTGTACTGTATCTATGTAATTATGGTCAAAGCAGTCAGTAATCATGTCCTTTCAATATTAAAAGTAAAAATGCCCCCCAAAATTCTGCAATTTAATTTCCAAGAAAACTTCCTTTTATTTTTGTATGCAATATTCTCTAATAGATAAAACATTTTGGATTTATATCTTTTGGATATATATTTCCCAAATCTATGTATTTCTATATATATATATATTTAAATTTGAGAGCTCCATTGCAAAATTCAGAAAAGAGCAGAATGTGAACAAGAAATTCTTTCAATCTGTGCTGGAGTTCAAAATGGGCAAATTACGTCAATGAATTTAAAAATGCAAGCCATCAGACTTCTGTAGTGTATTCACACACATTAGAAACACAAAACCTAACCACCGGTATCCTTCTCTCACCCACTTTTCTCCTGTAGTGCCTCACCATTGAAAAGGTGGGACGTCGTTCACTCCTCATAGTTGGCTTCTGTTTTATGGGCATCTGTTGTGCTGGCATCACCCTGTCCCTGGTGCTTCAGGTAAAAACATCTTTGTGCACAGAGTTGTACCTAGTAATCTAATTTGAATCTGATTGTCACTTCAGGCTGTGGTTTTAGAGGTGACAGTAGTGACTTTTTGTGCATGTAAAAGCTCCCAGAGCTGCTTTTTTCTATCTTAAAACCTAAACAGAAAAATAAAGTAGCTTTGGTCCCAGCCTGGTGGATGAATGCAAAATATTGTGAAATCAAAGTGAGCATAATTGAGGATATGGAAAAAAAATCCTACCATTTCTGAAATATTAATTTAATATGAATATTTCATATTAATATGAAAAGCTGAGTTACAAAACAGGAGGATAGAACAGGAGGACAGGATAGTTAGATCCAGCAGACCAGAATATTAACTATCACTCCAAACCAAAACAAAAAAACACAAAAAACACAATAAAATTAGTACAATTAGGAATCTACAGATAGGACTTACAGAATGCAGAACTGGAATTGTAGGAGATTTAGGGATTTGTGATTAAGAGAAAAGTAATTATTTCCATTTTACATGAACAAATCCCAACAACTGGATGTCATTTTTGCAGGCAAGTGTGTCCTGGATGCGTTACATCAGTGTGGTTTTTGTGATTGGAATCATTGCAGGATTCTGCATGGGACCAGGTAAGTTTGTGGAGTAGGGAAAAGTATCTGAGGAATAAAAAGATTTCAAAACTTTTATTCTATATTACCACGCATCAGAAGAATTGCAGTTAGCACCAAACTTAAAAATAAGAAAGGAATTAATAAAATGTTCAGTAAATTGGTATGTTGAAGAGATGGAATTGAATAGTGGCAAGTTTTTTTTTATGTGCACTGTCCTAAATAGGATTTTGTTAAATGCATTTAGAATTGGTTAACATTGGGATAATACAACCTTAATTGTGTAGTTTTGGACTACCAGATCAGGCATAGCAGGACAATGTAGAAATTTATATAACCAGCATTATCATTCATTCATTCATTTTATGTATTTATTATATTTCTAGAACACTTTCATTCAGGAGAACAAGGCAAACATATCTTGCCATTCATTCATTCATTCGTCATTCATTTGTTGATTTTATTTATTTGATTTTTATCACACCTTTGTTCAGGAGCTCAAGACAATAACACCTTGCCTTTGAAGTGTCAAGATACCAGTTGCCTCTCTGAGTTTTGCTACTGCTTTATTTTATGCTGCAGAGGCAATTCCTCTGCATGCTGTTAACCAAGAGGCAAATGCAGAGCACTCTAAATATGATGGACGAGGTGGATGCTGGTTTACCCAATTGATGTATTAGTGGAGCCTCTAACAAATCCATAACTCATTGTCGGCCAAGAATTTATTCACTGTAATTACATCTTTAATTAGGATTTTAATGGCTCATTGTTCACAAACAATGATGAATCTGACTTTTAAAATAAAAATATCTCTCTTCCCACTCTGGGTGATCTGTAAGCAATGCTCATTCAGTGTTTTTTCTGAATACTTCATGGGTAGAATTTTTTTTATTAAAGCTTGGGAAAAAAAACCTGCAACCATTTTAGGAAGCAGTACTCTGTGCTTCTAAAAAGCAGGTGTACTCTTTAAATTGCTGCTGGATAAAAGAGGGCAGTTCTTTTGTACCAGGTCAAAGGATGGTGTGAAAATCCAGGGCAACACTTTTCTTAAAGGTATCAGCATTATGTTATATGTTTGAATGTGGAGCTAAGCTGAATCGTAGGGACACTTACAATTTGGGACACTTCGTGCCCCTTGAAAAGGGCTTGTAATTTCAGCTACTGAAGGGATGACTCAAACATGTGAAAGTGCTGTGGGGGAGGGACAAAGAGGAAAATAACCACATCACTGTTGCCTTAGCAACTAGGCTGACATCCTACTTGCGGTGCAGCAATGCAATTATATTACTCTCCCTCCAAAATTCTGTCTTCATTCCCAGTTTTGTCAGCAGGTGGTTTTCATCCTGATTCAAGCACTTTTCCTCCCAAGAGCCAGGTAAGGTAGGACCCTGGCTAATTTACTTAGTTCTGAGTGCAGTCTTTCTCTGACAGCTGGAGTCCCATTTCTGATGACAGCTGAACTCTTCAAGCAGTCGCATCGGCCATCAGCTTATATTGTGGGTGGGTCCCTCAACTGGCTCTCGAACTTCACTGTCGGCTTTGTGTTTCCCTTCTTGCAGGTAACATAGGTCTGGGAGCTGTGATTGCCTCCCCTGACAATAATGCTTCACACACTATGTCCCCTCAGTATATTGGCCTGCACAACTGCAGTTGTGGATTATTAGTAGGTCAACAGGTGGAGCAGAGCATTTAGGTGTGGAATCATGCCCCAACCCCACTACTGGTAGTAAATGAAACCCCCAGTTGGCAAATTGCAATATCAAGCATACTGTACTTCATCATAGACAATTCTGGCTGGGGCTGATATGGGACAGGATATAGTATCTGGACCAATTGTCTGCATTCTAACCAAGCTGAAAATGGTAGTGGAGCACCAATCAAGTTAGTCCTGAAGCAAAGACTCCATCTTTCCAAATCTGGCATTGCAAATTTCACTGAGCGTCTTGGGAATCACAAGACAAGTTAGTCATCTTCAGCTACAGAGAAGAGAATTTCTCACAAAACTGAGCTGGTCATGGCACATCATTTCTGGGCATCCAGTAAGCAGGGCTGGGGAAAAAAACTCCTGTCCACTTGTGATTCCCAAAGAGTTATAATTATCTCCATAATTGACACCAAGCGAGATGGACTAATTATTTGATTTGATTTAAGAGAATTTCCTAGATTCTTCAACTGTATTGATAATGCACTAAAGCAGGGGTCCCCAACCTTGGCAACTTTAAGACCTGTGGACTTCAACTCCCAGAATTCCCCAGCCTGCACAAAAGGATCAGTTAGAGGGAAATAACTTTAAAAATTCAACATACTAATGGTGTTTCTTCCTGTATTGGTCCAATTCACCCTCTCTTAACCTATGTTGTTATTGCCGTACTAATTGAGAATTGTGAGAACTGTAATTTAAACATATTTGGAGGCCACCAAATGGGGAAGGCTGGATTAAGTGACGGGCAGTGGGGAATACCAGTGCCATTTTCTTTTAGCCTCATCTGACCCAACTTTGTTCCTTTCTCAGATGTCAGCTGGTGATTTCTGCTACCTGGTCTTCTGCGTTATCTGCTTTCTAGTTGCACTGTATGTGTATTTCATCATCCCCGAGACTAAAAACAAGACATTTATGGAAATCAACCACCTCTTCACCCCCTCTCGCCCTACCTTCTTCTCTAACTTCCCCAATTCTTTCAAGATGGTGAAGTTAAATGGCTATGGAGCCCTGGAGAACAGCTCCTTGGAATTCTCTGTATCAGGATCGAATCTCCCGTGAAGCTCTTCAATTCATCTCTATCTCTCTGCATAGGGGAAGCCATCTTGATGAGCTGTCTTCGGTCACTGGCCAAGGACAGATGATTTGTCTCTTTGTTTTCCCTCCCCAGTCAATACAAAAAGATCCTTTGGGGGGAAAAATGGAACAGCATCTCATTCCAACCTAGAGAAGTTGCCTCTTACCAACTGTCTCTCATTTTTAGCACGTTCTACTTTCTACTTTCTTTTAGTTATACTTCTTTACAAAACAAAATTCATAATACTCTCCGGGAACTGCTCAGTGAAAATGTTTCAAATGCAATGGACAGAATGCCTATTTTCTGTAAATGTTACAGCAAAGATGGGGAACCCATAACAGGCAGACAGCTGGTCCAGCCACCTAAGAATGCATAGTTACACTTTTCAGATTTCTTTTGTTCAAACATTGGAAAGTAGAAAGCACCTCTTATTCCCATCTAAACCTCCACAAAGTAGAAACATGCCCCAAGTTGCCATTTTGAGGAAAACTAAAGATGAGAATGATAGCAAGAAAGATACCAGTCTTTCTACCCTTAAACTTAATTTCCCCTAAGATCCCAACATGATGTCTTGGATTAACTTAAGCTACCAATGGAGGACCTGCATCTCAGAGGTATCCTGATTCCATTCCCATCCTTAATTCCCATCCAAAAATAGGGGGAAACATATAATCATTCCATTGCAACATGATTGGATGGTTTTCTGTGCCCCAACAACCTATTATCCACTCCATTTTACCATGTAGTGGGGTATACCAAACTATTTGCAGTTGTTATTTACCAGCACCCCATACCAGCACTTGGAATGGAGCTGAGACTCCAGTCAGAGATCAGTTACAGCAAGGCGTCCATGTAGTACCATTGTAAATAGCAACATCATGACTACTCTGGTAGAGTTATAGCTGTATACTTTTTAAAAAGAGAACAGTTATACATACTGTATGTAGCCAACACACAAGTAAGGAAAACAAGTTGTTAAAGACAAAATAGAAATTAAAAAAATTAAAATAATGATTGCTCTCTAGTTTCTATAAGGGGCAATTTTGTTCTCCCCATGCAGTGACCAATAGACTGGTGGGCCTTCCTCCTTTCCTTCTTTTCTCCCTTCCTTCCTCCCTCCCTCCCTCCCTCCCTCCCATAAAAAGAAGAGGTGAGATATCAGATAACAGTCACTTTTTAGTGCTTCACAATTGATCAGACCTGATATTCAGTGGGACAAGTGAGGACACTCAGACGTTGGTTATGGTTTCAGAGGAGATGTTAGCAGCTGTGTAGAAGGTGCCATAATTAAGTAAGTAACCATTTTGCTGCATGGCATTTAAAATCTGCTAAGATCTTGGGAGATATGATTTTCCTTACTATTGTATTTTGGCCAATGGCTAGAGGCAATTGACCTTAGCATAAAATAATCCATAGAATGGAGAAATATAGATTATTCTATTTTCAAAAGAAATATGACATTGAATTTAAGATGATTTTAAAAAATATTACGGGGTGGAGAAAGAATGCTCATATTCTCAACAAACCTAAGATTATACTTCTCTTTTAAAATTAAATAATTTGGGAAAAATCCATTCTCAGGGAAAATATAGTATTTGCTTGTAATATTAGAATTTGGGGTTCTGGTTTTGGGAAGAAAATTCAGGCAGTACTCTTTCGTGCCACACAAACTAAAATCATGCAATTTGATTCCATAAGGTGCAGTGAAGACTGCCAACCATTTGGATGGTTGAAAGAAAATATGAAATTTATAGAGATCAAAACTTTCAGACACAGCAAAATAGATATCATTTCTAATCATAAGGACATCAAAATTACAAAACACATGTCATGATATCATGAAGCAAGCAAGTCCCACCAGTTTCTATTTCCATCATGATGTTGCATGCAAATGTTGTTCGTCCATCGATTTCGATGAAGATCTTGACATCTTGTGGATTGTGGGCCATCAACGGTGTGTCCGTAGATGGCTGATTAGACCGATGTTAGCACGGAATGTTCTGCCACATATATTTGGGGCAGTTTGTGTTATGATGCTGTGACTCCCTATGAATGACTTATACTGCAATTGCCCTTAAATAAAGAAATATATACTAATAACAGAATTGTGTGCATAATGCAATCTTTATATGGATTATATATGTTTGAGTTAAACAACTGAAGCATGCATGCAGATATGCGCATTTGCAACCAACATTTCCATTCTATTATTTCTTCATTACTTCTATAGTATTATGGCAGTGTAGAAAAAAGGCTGGAAGGTTCAGTTCTTAGTATCTTTTTATCATATTTGAAGATGAATGTTTTTCTTGATTTTACTTTTCAGGAGGCAGCACTCATTAATAAAATCTGCAACAAAGTTTGTTATTTAGATTGCAAGGTAATCCCTTGATGAATAACATTTTGCATTTCAAGTTAACATTTTGCATTTCAAGTTATGCAATACAGTGGCTGAGTATATCATACTAAACCACAAGAAATAATTCAAAACTATTGAGGCTAAAATCACACAAAATATTATGTCAAAGCCAAAAAAATCATACCCTGTTTCCCTGAAAGTTAGACCCAGCCCGATAGTAAGCCTAACTTGATTTTTGGGGGTGTGGCTAATATAAGCCCTACTCCAAAACTAAGCCCTAGTTTTGGGGCGAGGCACACCCCTAAAAATCAAGCTAGAGCAGGGGTAAGGGGGTGAAGCTCCCCCACATGCCCTGCACCCGCTTACCTTACCAGTAGCACCACCACAGCCAGGCCTCCCTCACCCTGACACTTGTCACGCTGCTACTTGACTTCTTCTGTGGCCGCTTGCTGCCACTTGTGGCTGGCTGCCATGTGGCACATTATCCCATAGCTGCTCCTCCCGGCAGGATGCCGCAGGACGCTTTGGGCCACTTCTGTTGCTTGCACACTTCAGGTCGCTCCTGTTCTCTCAGCAGGAGGCCACGTGGTACTGCGGAAACAACCCAAAGAGCCACGCAGCATCCTGCTGTGAGCAGCAGAAATGGTGCAAAGCACCATGTGGTGTCCTGCTGGGAGGAGCGGCAATGTGCTACATGGCGTCCGGCCGTAAGTGGCAGCAAGCGACAGCAGAAGTCAAGCAGCGGCGTGACAGGTGTCGGGGTGTGGGAGGCCTGGCTGTGGTGGTCCTAAGATAAAACATTCTCCGAAATTAAGACCTAGTGCCTCTTTTGGAGGAAAAAAAATATAAGACCAGGTCTTAATTTTGGGGAAACACAGGATATTAGAATGATTCCAACCAGCCAGGCTTACGACTATGGCTGAGGATTCTCTGTCACTGAAACAGTCTCATCAAGCTATTTGAGAAAAGTATCATTTCGAGGTGTTTGTTGGTGCTTTAGTAATAAATTGCACTATGCCTGCAGAATCAGGAACCTGAAGATAAGCATAATAGCCTGTGGGAAGAATCCAGAGAAAGAAATATTTTGGGAAATATTAAAAAGGCAGAATATATTTATCCAAAGGAATAATGGAGAAGATCTTAAAGGCAGAAAAGCAAGCCCAGTTTTCTTAATAGCCCCAAGCAGAAACTAGGTAGAGGCCAGCTTTTAGAAATGCGAATTTAATAATCCATTCAGGAAGGTTGGGGCCAGGAAGCTAGAAGCTATGACATTAGGAAGACAAATACCTCTAAAATCTACATACCCCACCCAAACTGTAGAAGACATGACCTGGGGATATAATAGGATTAACCCACCAATACCAAAAGGGCACACTCAGACTTAGGTCAAAGTACATGACACAGGAAATACAAAGCCTCAAACAGGAACAGAAAATAACCTCAAAAGCCCAAGAAGGTATAAAAACCCACAACTTCCAGCAATATGTGGTCAGCTTTCCCAGAGCCACGCTTCTGTCTGGCTCTGCTCTTCAATAAACTCCAACCTTCTTTCTAAAGCAGTCTCCATTTTGTTTATTCCCAGCTTGGACTGGACCCTGATGAAGATTTTTCTTTCAACAAGCCCATTTGCTGTGGCAGAGGAAAGTTCTCCAGGACCCACTAACTGTATTTTTATAAGTAGCTTCTGCTTACTAACCAGTGGTTATTGCTTACCAACAAATTCAGTGGTTATCTGAAGTTGTGATGGCATTAAACAAATGGTACTTAGGACTGGTCCTCAAAGTTCTGGTCCTAGCAGTGCCCCCATAGTCATGTGATCACCACAAGCAACCTGCCCTACCGGTTTCCTCAAGCAAAGGCAATAGGGAAGCTGGAAGAAAGATCCCAACTCACTTTGGTAAGTCCCCCCAACCTTTCTGTGCTCATGCTTTGCCGTGCTGTACATCTCTGACCTTCCTATGTTCATATCATGCCACACTGTACACTTCCAACCTTCCTGCAATTATTATGCCCTGCAAAGCCATGGCCTTTCTAAGCCCTTTCCCACACCTTGCAGCACTCCCACTCTTCTTACCTGGAATACCACCACTACCTGCTTAATGATCCATGCATTCTGTTGGTAAGCGATGTGCTACATGATGTCGCACTGTATAACCATATCACTAAGCAACAGCAATCCCTGTCCCAATTGCCATCAGAACTTGAGGACTACATGGAGGGTTGTTTAGGATCATAGGGTTGGAGGACACCTTGGAGATTTTCTTGTCTAATCCGATGCCTAGAGAAGGAATCCTTATGCCATCGTGGATTGATGGTTACCAATCTTTTCTTGAAAACTTCCAGTGATGGAGCACCTACAACTGCTCCCTTTCAATTCCTCAGCATATTTTTCCTGTCCTGTGGCAATTAGAACTGGACACTGCCTTCCAGGTGCTGAGTAACCAATGCAACATAGAATTTGTCAGTATACCTGTGTTGATGCAGCCCAAGATTGCATTGGCTTTTTTCGCACCTACAGCGCACTGCTACCTCATGTTTAACCTGTAGTCCAAGCTCAGTATTTCCTATCTTGTACCAGTGTATCTGCTTTTTTCTATATAAGTGCAGAATCTTACATTTCTCATC